GCTCTTCTATTTTCATTTCTGCCTCTCTGGGATAGAATTGACCACACCAGAAAATAGAGAAGAAAAACTTGGATTCAGCTCCTAGTTCTGCAGCAATTCAACAGGCTCCGTTGCAGCAAGGGGAAGACAGTGTTGCCCCTCTGAGAAAAAGTACTTACTCGGATCTCCTCTAAACCCTTTTCCTTCCTGTGAGACACTGTCTCCCCTCTGCTTTCCTATATATCCAGATATGCAGCATTTCTAGAGGAAGCAGGCACTGATCATGACCATCCTCCCTACTTACTCTGCACTGGAGCTTTTGTAGTCAAATGAGATGCGGCTGCACTTGTTTTTTCACACATGAATTTCCACTTTCAATGTTAAACATGGCACTACATATTATACACATGATGCACCAAAGCTCTCCTTAAAAGAATACGACTGTGAACATATAACTCATATTACATCTATGTTTGGGAGCATTTTTTTCTGAGGGGTGGGTGGGAGGAAGGAAAAAGTACTATTTTTTGGTTTCTATTAAGATATAGTGATGGAAATGATAGGAAAGAAAAAAGATTGCAGATTTAAAGAACACTTGCTAGTGCATGTGCCAGATGCTGATAGCTATATATAGCCATTCGAACAAGAATGACTGCAGAGAGTATCTCATCCAGGCAAACAGGAATTTGCCTGAGTAAGGCCATGGCAAAAATGAAAAAAGATTCAACATTTAACCTATGGGTCATTACTTTTACTGCAGAAGAAGTTGTGTAAGTACTCCATGAAGTGGAATAAGAACACGTCCTCATGATGACCTTATCTACATTTCACATAAACATGTTCCCAAATTTAACAAAACAAAATCTGTCCTTTTTACCATGCGACTGCTAATCATTCTTTGAATATAACCTCATTTTCCTTGCTCCACAGCCCTTAGAGAAGTAAACAAAGGACAACAGATAATGCATCTTCAAAGTAATAATAAAAACCAGCATGCAGTCTACAACATGAAATTCAAAAACAGAACCCAGATATAAAGAATATGATTTGCCATCTTAGGTTTTTGCTATTGTCTCATTCACAACAAAATTTTAGAAATGAGAGGCACTTACTTTTCCTACCTCTTTTCCTCTATACTCTGGTATCACATTTCTCTTCCCTTCTGTTCAGTACAGTGTGTTTTTACCTACAGTAATATAATTCCTAAACAGTTCAAAATGTGAAATAGGACTTGAGATGACGAGCTATGATTTATACAGAACTACATGATAATTTTGGAAGGACCGGGAGGTTGGGTATGGATTCTAATTAACACTGATGAACCTGGTTCCTAAAGATTAAATTCCCAAATGAGTAACTCCACACACAGGTCTATCCAAGTTATTCTCATTAAAACAATTGAAAAAAAATTATAAGCTTCTCTCTGTGTCAAGATATTGAAGGCTTTCCAGAACTGATTAAAAATATTAAATGAGGTATTGAACTACATTTAAAAAAAATCAACCTTATTCATGTATTGAAAAGTAATGGTCTATAATTTGTATTCAAGTGCTTTTATTTCCAGTGAATAATAATTGTACTGCAGCCAACTTGGTGCCCTGTTCCTCTGGAAACCTCAAGGGGCGTACAGAAGAGGATTTTGTTTCCTACTGAAGACACCCGCTTTGCATAACATTGCTTCTTATTCTTCAGTTCTAAAATGTGGGCTTAACTTTGTTTCATTATGTGTTTATTTTTCAGCTGATGGTTCCTTCAAACCAGTAAACACAAATGAAAGTGTATCGCTATTAGATATACTGACCGACTCTGGAAAGAACCATATGCTAAATGAAAGCACATGCAGACAGAGGACTCAACCTGAATGCCTTAGGAAGTGGACTTATAAATCAGGAGCTTTCTGACGATGTGCTACTGTTTCCTGGTTTTCTTTATCTGTGGAACTTGAAGCTGCCTACGGCCACGTGATCCTCAAAATAAAGCTGAAATGACACACAGAAGTGCTGATCATCTTGTGTTCCCCTGAAAAGAAAATCGATTCTGCAGGAGTTGAGGAAACAGTAATTTCTTACCGTTCGCCTCTCTGCTTGATCAGGCTAGGCAGCTTCTCCCCCCACCTATTTTCCCTAGTTTAAGTCTGATCTTTCATCTCACACCTACCCCCTACACTCATTACCTTGCCTTTCTGCATCTTTTCCCCTTACAGCCTCCTGCTTTTCACTATCCCTTACACAGCTGCAGACCTTGTCTAGGCCAAGCTAAAAAGTACACGTTTTGGACCACAGTATTACTATGAACATGTTTTAAGAGCTGAATGTAGAAAAAAAGTGCAGCGATAAAATTATGTCTGTAGACAGGGAGCTTCTTGCCCCTCTCATTTCTGCTTCCTCCACACTTTTGTAGCATATCTGTCCTCAAGATTACCCATACAGCATTTCCACTTTTCCAGCCCCGCCATGATCATTTGGGGTATATTGCCTTTCCTGACACTTCTAGTCCCATCCTGAACAAGGGAAGCCTTGTTTTGCCTGCACAGGTTCAGGGGACTATGTCAGCTTTTGGGATGATGGTAGCCTAAAACTTCTGTCCCTAATGAGGGACAGTGGCCTTTTGATGTAAAGGAGAAGTTTCAAGAAAGCAGAAATTCAAAAAATGCATGGAAATTCTTACAATACTGTATTAAGAGACCTGCGATACAAATAACAAGAGTGGAAAAGATTTTGAAATAAAAAGAAGTGTGACTGAAAATTAAAGAGAGAGTGGCTTAGGCAACACTGACAAAGACTGCAAAAACTTCCAGGGCTGGTCAATGCTTCTCCCTGCAGAAATACCAGTGGGTCACCAATTTTATCTTGTGCCATTTGGGATGGAAAATCCTAGAACAAAGGAAATGTCAGGATAAAGGGAACAAAAAGCTGGGCACTTTTATCTCCAGGACTCAGCCGTCAAACATGAGATCTAAACATTGTCTTCTCATTAGTTTCAGTTTCAAACACCACCAAGATATTGTTTTCTTCTGAGTAATATGTCAATCATTTTTCATAATTGCTTAGACATTTTTTTAGCCTACCAGACAATGTTTTTTGTCCACCTCTTTCGACTTCAGCTAAATGTTTATATCGCATGTTATCATATACTGTTTCAAATATCCTGCATGCCACAAAATCCACAAGAAGTTGGTGAACACTTAGGAGCTATCCTGTGCTGCCCTCTCTCCTATCATAGTTTACGCTGACACCAGTATCTAAGCAAGCTAGTTTAAAGCCATCTCAAATACATCTATATGTCTAGAAACTGCAGTACAAATTTACCCTTATGCACTTATGGATTATATACAAGCAGTGAAAGCTTTCTTTCCTACTGAAGTAGGCAAATCTGGAATGCAAATGGTAAATCCTGAATTTCAGACAAACAAATGATTGCCTATCAAAACCCCTTTCCAAACTTGTCCTTAGCGTATTGCATATAAGTAAAGGGGGAGAATTTGAAAGATTCAGACAATTGCCACAGGCATCTTTAATTTTAACAATAGTCCTCACTTGCAGGTAGAAGCACAAGTCTGAAAGACGTAATAATAGCTAAATGGATATTAGTATATGCCATTACCGGATCTCTCTGCACAGTTACAGCAACCTGTGAATGCTAAATTTGCTCATCAAATCTGGCTTAAGAGCCTAAAACAACCACTTTTCAGGAACAACATATCACTTCAATGCTGTTTGGAAGCGATGGAACTTTAACTTAGAGAAAAGCCACATGGGTATAATGGCTAAAGGAACTGAGAAAAGTAATTGCTTCCAGAGAGATTTCTTTCCTAAACCAAACTGAAGGGAAATACAACAGCGAACTCTTGTTTCTGAAAAACAAACATTAAGAGGCCAGAGAATGCCACCAAAAATGAGAGTTTTCCTCTTCTTTAACAATGCCAGAAACAAAAATGTTAAGAGTAAAAACATCTCAAGACATACCACAGCTGTCAAATAAGAGTAAACAATCACTATCTCTGCTCTGAGACAGTCCTAGTGATTCAGCCGAACAGAGTTGTTTAGTCCTATAAACAGTATAAATTGTTTAAGTCATGGAAGCTCTACCAGTTTGCACAAGAAGAGGATATCATAATCTTTTATTGGCCTACAGGCCTCTGATACACCCAAGAAAAAGAAGATTGCCCCATCCTGCCAAAACCAACCATTTCCTTCCCCTCCAAAAGTCTCAAAATCAAACAGAAAATTGCAGACTATATTAGTGATGAAGCAAGGTGCCCTGTTGGAGTCAGTGGAATGTGAAATAAATGAATGCAAAATAAATCCAAGCAGAAATCTCCTCATATCTACTGCTGGTAACAGAAATGCTGCCTAGAAGCTTTCAGACATTTTCTCATGCTTGTAGCATCATTGCTTTTCTAGGAGATGGTGATACTTGAGGAGGAAAACCTCCATCTTTTTAGAACTGATTTGAAATAGAAGCAGATATGAAGGCTAACGAATTAAGAGAAGAGACTCATTACTACAGTCTCATCTATTCCACAGATCTTCTATTGTTTAAGTAATTTATTTAGATTGTGAAACTACTTTGACATCATTGAGGATGGCAGAACTACTTCTGATCACAAGCACTTCATTTAATTACTGCCAAAGAGAAAAAAGTCAACAAAATATGAAAAGTTAGCTGTAATACACAAGGCTAGCAAAAAGATGAATTAAGATTATCCAGGCTTTATGTGTCAACACTCAGGAAAAAAAGTCAGTGAAATAATATATACTATTAGAAAATATGCCACCGTAGGAAATATTACAGTCTTGAAGACAGTGAGCATTTTGCCACTCATATATTTTCAGTATAACTGTGAGGCTGCTATTTGCAAAATAGAATGTCAATGTCAAAAAAGTGGAAAAAAAACCCCAACTTGCAAACAAATATGTTAAAACGGTGTAAAGAGAGATAGATGCAATTTGTAGAGATAAGCTACCATCTAGCCATCTAAGGCGGGGGGGGGATGTCATAAAACGCTTAAAGACACTTACCTCGTCTTGCTTAGGAATGCTGAATTTTGCTATCTTTGACTTGGTCCTGGCTGAATCAGGTTTGCTAGAAGGCACTCCCCTGTGTGACTTCAGCTTTGGAGACTCATCAGGGGCTTGATCTTGACCATCCATCGGTCTCACATAAGCTGTTGGTTTCTGATGAACCAGACTGGGCTTCGAAGCAAGCGAAGGTGGGAAGTTTTGGACGCAATGCCCGCTGCCATGTTTTGACGGCCTCTCTTGCACTTGAGCTCCTCCTTCTGAACCACAGCTTAGCTTCGACTGCTGCTGCACTCTGGTGACATTGTCTCCTACCGTGGACCTCAGCGAGCTTTGCTGGGCAGTGTTAGAGGAGGAGGAGGTGGGACTGGATGCATAGCGTTTTAGTTTTTCCAGACTGGATTTTTGGTTAGCCAGTTTAAAGTCGCTCTTGTGCGACTCCAGCGACCTGTGCCCGTGCTTGCTTGCTCTCTGCTGGCCATCCGAAGCAGCATTGTGCCCAGCCTTCTGCCAACCCATTGTGGAGCTTTTGCTCTGCTGCGCAGGTAGAGCTGCTGGTGTGGAAGAAGAAGCACTGCAAAGAGATGGAGGCGGCGGAGGTCTCGAATCTGCAACAAGATGCTCATCAGGCTTAGGAAGAGAGGCCTGGGGAACACCAGGTTTTGGGACCCCAACAAGGTGGCTCTGGTTTGATCGGTCAGTTAACAAGTCTTTCATTTCATCATAGTTGCCCAGTGTGTTCTGGATGCGATTTGAGAGCTCGTCCCCCTTGTTAGTCTGCAAAACAAAAATTGAGTGTTTTGTAACGGTTAACCTAAGAAAAACAAAATTCCCTGCATGCGTCTGCTGGAACCCTTACTGAAGGCGCACTGCCTTATTCAGTAACATCATTGAGGGATGAAATCGAAAATCCTTATTGTCTCTGAAGACACTTGTCAACATCTTAAATCTAGCCTGAACTGGAAAAGCTATAAAGGGCCTTAGAGTATATAAAAAAAGAAATCTATCACTGGTATCATGCTGTAGTTAAAATATATTACCTGGAAACTAGAAAATTTATTATTGCAACTACACCGAATGGTTTGGATCAAATCTGACCATGATAAAACTTTTCCTGTAGCCCAGTGCAAGCTTTCCCTCAGCCATGAATGAAAACACTGCATTCCTGATTTCCTCCTCTGCCTGCTTATGTTTTCACATTGCAGTGCTGGGAAGCCACAGAAGAACTAGTGCAAGCACTGAATGAACTCACCAGTCTAAGCCAACCCAATACTCTCAAGGTTACTTGAAGAGACATCATGGGGCAAAAGGAAAACTACAGACTGTAATGCACCTTCTTTGAAAATACTCTGACAGGATGTTCACTCTGGGTCACTCTCCTCTTTGAAAAAAAGTGAACAGATCTGCCCGAGGCCTCAGTAATGCTCAGTGCTTGCTGGGCACAGCTGTGGGACACAGGTTGAGGCAGCCACCCTTTCTTTCCTTTGAGATTAATCACTGGTTCTAAAATCATCCCTTTACTTCCTGACTGAAGAGGCAAAAGTTCCACAAATAAATAAGAAAAAGCAAACAAATAATACTGACAATAATTGAAAATTATTGCTTTAAAAAGCTACTGTAAGCAAAATGGTATATCATCAGCATTTCTGCAGCAGAGGTTTTTCTGAATCGTGCCAATAAACAGGCAGGTGGTGTACCTATCTGGCTTACATTTTCAGAGAAAGAGAGTAATAAGCCAATAGTCCTCTCCTTTCTTTTTTCCAGTCATGGAGTCTAGGGAAAACTCCCATTAGCTTCAGAAGGCCAAGATTTTATCTCAAGACTTCTATTTTAGTGGAAAACAGTAGCTTGGAGAAAGAAGGGAGTAAAGGGAGTGGAGAAGACCCCCTTAAAGCTATATAAAAATATAAAAGATGTAGCATCAACACCAGCCATTCAAGAAAAGTGGTCATTTTTTGTTTTTTAAGACTTCCAATAAAATTGGCTCACTCAAACAAAAATGTAAGGGAAGGAAACTCCCTCATCTCAAAATTTTTTTAGGGTTTCCAAAAAAAGTGTAATGCCAAGCAAAAATGCCTTGTAAATGATTGGAGTGGTGTCCACACGTTACTCTTCGGTGGACTGCAATCATAGCATTCCCAAGTCACCCAAGTCAGGCAGTAGACGCAGTCTTGTCTTACTTGGAACTCGTCCCCTCAAGTTTCAAGGACACTGGTTTTTAACTGTGTAAAATATAACCAGGCAAGCATTGCGATATGTGTTTGTTACAATATTGTCTAACAGGGTTGTTTATGTATTAATAATATTACTGGGGAAAGGGAAAAACTTGGAAGAGCTGCATCTGAAACACTGCCTTGCAAACTTAGAATAAGATGGGTCAGCCACAACAGCCTGATATTCTACCTACATGTGCAGCTTTTATTGTCACAAGGACAATGATTTGTCATGAAAGGAAATGTGAAACAGTTATTCACAGATATGGACTAACTTAAAAGGTGGTATTTCTTCACTTTTCAAGAATCACGCTGATGTCCCACAGAAGAGGAAATTCTTAACAAGGCTTCAAAAGGGGAAAGCATCACATACATCTAAAAATAAGGTATTTCAAATGCAATGAGTTACCTAGTTCACTGCTTCGATTGGGGTTGGAGGTATGTTTGAGTCTGGCAGATTAAGAGGTGTGGAAGGCATCTTCATGTTGGCTGTTTGGTTGCTACTATGGCAAAAACTGAAGAGCTGACGAAGGAGATCCTAGGCTGCTTCTAGGGCAAGCTCTAGGCCACCTGTAGTTGGGGACACGTGGTATGTTGGAGACACGCGTATACTACGGTCAATGAAATGGTTTCTAAACGTGGGCTTCTCCTTGACCAGCAGAAGTACTTTCTCTAAGGCACAGAGAAGTTTCCTTTCATCCAGTGGATCTCTTCTGTGTTTCCAATGGATTCTCCCAGTAGTGTAGGTATCTGGTAGAAAGATGCATTTCTACATCCCTCTGAGGAAGAAGATCTGACCCTGGGACTGCATCAAGCCTAACTCAGCCAGTCTGTGTGCATGAGGTTTCCTTCCCTGCTAGGAGTAAGGAGCACCAAACGGAACAGGGCCACCCTGTTCCCCACAGGTCTCCTCCAGCACAGATAAACTTGTGGGGCAGCTCTCTACCCAGGTGCCTCTAGGTCTGTGGAGGTATAAAGAAGGTGGCCTGAAAATTCTCTTTAATTAAGTCCATTCTCTGAAATGTCAATCCTTTGATTGTTCATCACTAGGTCTGGGCGTTCATACGTTAAGTTTTGCCCTCAGAAATTCCAGCTTCCCTAATACAAGGTCCACTCTTTCTCATGGCTACTATTTGGATGAGAAGCGGCTCCAGATCTAACTTCAGATTGTCTGTGGGATATAAATAGCCTAGAGAAGTCAGGAGATTGTCTTCAGCGTGGATGAGATGTGAAAGTCACACAAAGAAACGTCTCTTTGAAAGATGCCAGATAACCACAAGAATAATTGCAGCAAACAGATCTATCTATCTAATAGCACACGCTGTCCACTGGTTAGTGTTATATATCCCTTCTGCCAGACTGAGGACATCTTGAGGTGAGAAGATTTTGAGTAGAGCTGAGCTCATCTAGAAGAGGTCACTTACACTCTCTTGGGAACAAGATGGCATTTAGGGTAGCTTATTATGAACTTTAGATGTAACAACTCACTCCATTATTTGCTCTGAAATGTTGCTGGCCTTGCCTTATTTAGTTAATCATTCACATTAGGAAGGGTCCCAGTCACGTGGTCCCAAAATGAGTAAGAAAGAAAAGCATTCAGTGCAAACACATCTAACTTACAGTGCTCTGATAGTCTTCTGCAAAGTGGGAAGTATCCTTATGTTCTAACACCTGCAAGATCCAGCACTGCTAAAAATAAGCCTGACAGTTGCAAGAAAGGCCATCAGAACTTTTTCCTTCATTAAAAATACTGCTACGGTTAATAAGGGTGGGCATTCTGTCAATTAAGTATCCAGAATGAAATTCCTACTTTTTTAACTCCTGTGAAAGACATTCTTTTAGAAGACACTGGATTTCTTTCACAAAAAGGTTGCTATGGATACTTTGAAAGGCACGGGATAAGGGGCAACCCAAACAGTCAGGATTTTTCAGAAAATCTGATGTTACAAGAGCAGGGATAACTGTCAAGGTGAGAGAGGACATAAGATGTAAGAGATTTCCAATCTGCCTTTGATATCCAGATATGGCCTTCCGAATGGCAAATCCTTTAGCTTTAGCTCATGTTTCTAAAGCTGTTGCAGAGGAACACTGAATTTAATGAGAGTTTGCAGTGAACATCTCTGTAACTTTATTCCCCTGTGGAAACACGGAAGACGTGAACATGATCTTTAAAGGTGGTAAGAGTGGGTTTCACTTTTGCTTTCGCAGTAAGGTTTCATCTTTTGCAGTCACTCTCTCTTCTCAATAAGATCAAAACGCTCATAGCCAAGAGTAAAAGCACTGCACCCCCACCCTGATGCTTCACAAATGCTTGGAAGAGTTCAGGCAGCCCAACAGTCCATTGCCAGTGTAGACCTGACACTCAGAGCACCCCCCTGTTTAAATTTTGGTATCCAGTAGTGTCAGAATGGCTGGTCTTCCTAGAAGCTGAGACTGTCATGCCCACAAAGCTGCAGGTGAGAGATATAGCTTGACTGGGCTTTGCCTTTCTCAGCACTTCCTTGGCAAAGCCAGCTGTACGATGTATCTCTGCAGCATCTTTTTTAACTGGCTAGTCCAAAACAGGGAGACAGGGATTAAAGATGAGAAGCATGGATGGAGACATTATTCTGATCTCCCTATAGGATACCCACCTGGTATCCTCTGCTTCTAGAGAGAGCAATGATTTTTGTTAGAGCAATGATATTTCAGTGGGTGCAATTATACTGTGGTTGAGTAGAGGTGCCTTCAAAAGTCATAAACAAATTCAGAAACTACTGATGTGCCCATAACACATGACATCTGTGGCATGACAGTTAGTACAGAGGTCATTGGGACCCAGGTAGTAATCACACTGTGCAAAATACTCCAACTGTACCACTTCTATAAGTGATCTGAGCATTAGTATTACCCACTTTAGGCATGACAGACAAAAGGGTATCAAGGACTCAGCAAAAGCACAGGACCTTTTTGTGAAGGTCTTTGACTGAACCTACCAAATGGAAAACGATTAGTCCCAGTTTCAGCAGAGCTCTCACTAAATGCCAAGATACAGCTGCATTACATAATTCTTTTTTTTTCCCCCCCCCGGATTAGCCCTTGACTGGTCTCACAGTAGACTTTCTCAAGTGGAGCCCTGAGGAGGAGTTCAAGATGTTTCTCATGGTTTCTAAATGCCTTTGTAATGGTCTGAAATTTAGGCAGCTGGAGGTCATCTTCAAGGCAGACAGAGCCATCTTCTATCAAGGGACAAGGTTTGAAGCTGGTAGCTTTTTTTTTTTTTTTATTATTAGGGTCTAGAAACACACAACAATCTGGAAGGAATACAAGCCTGAGTAAGTTAAAAGCTGACCCTGGGCCAAGGGCAGATATGCCAAAGCACTATAAAAAGGTGTGGGAGCCACATGCCAGGTCCCAAATAGGACCGTTGCAAAGAGGCATTAAAGCACCCAAAGCATCCAGGATGAGTGAAGCTGCGTGGAGGGGAAATACTTCACAATGCAGTGAGTTGTCACGGAGGCATTACTGGAAGGGCACAGTAAAAGATAACACAATGATGCTTTGATGCATGCAGGCAGCCACGGGGCTAGCTCCTGGAGAGGAGCAGACCCTGTGGGATACCTCTCACAGGTCTTCTTCACAAAGGTTATGTTTGCAGACTTCTGTTGGCAGCAGTTAAATACAGAGGATTCTCCTTGATCCTCCTAATGGGAAGTGGGGGAAGGCGATTGTACCTCATCACACTACTGTTCCCAGGAGGGGTAAAACAAGGACTTGAGACTCATAAGTTACTTCTGCCATTGCTTAAGGCAGAACATGGTTAGTAGACAAATTTTGTTAGCAATGCTTATAGGAAAAAAATAGTCAGGATATTTCATTGCATTAACCTTGCTCAGAGGATAATATTTACTACGCAGCTTGACCTTCACACACAATTCTAACACAATTATTTTCTTCTAAGTGTTGCAAAAACAGGGAACCATCACCTTCACCTCCTAGTTTTAATGCCATCTCAAATATTATTAGGATGTTGCTAGTTTATTTCATTCTCATGTGCTGCTGAACGTTAGAAGAAACTAACGTTAAAAAAAAAATCCGGTTCTCAACCATAAATGTTCTGTGTGAATTTAGTGAGGCTAGCACTTGTGAGAGGTAACTGAAACCTGGACAATATAGGCTGAAAGGCTGCATTTTTATACTGCGGAATAAATAAATAAATAAAGAGCCACCCAGCTGGGAAGCATCTACCTTGTACGGTTCACTGAAGAGGGAGTAACTTGTGTTAAATGTGCCATCTTCCTGCTGGGCCTCCTGATTTCTCCTTTCCCATTCCTTCCTTCGCAGCACATTTCTATCCGGCTCATAGACACTGCAGCAAAAAGAGGAACATCTTTTTTAAGAGTTAATAATTAGAGGGCAACGTATAAGCCAGTGCAAATCTAAAACCAAAGAACTCTGATTTTCAGGCAGATGGCAAAAATAAGCAAGAACATGAATCAGATGCATGCCAGTCTAAGCAGGCTGGGGATGCTCAGGTCTCCGGGAGTGCGAATGCTTTCTTCACACAGAGAATAGATAAATAAATTCCTACAGAAGAATAAAAAAGAAATCACAGGACAGGACCTAGTCTGTGCAGAACTTCTCTGCTTGAAATGTGACAAAGGAAATATCTAAGCAACTTTGACAAAGACTGAAAGTACTCTTAAGGCAGATGGTAATTACAGCTATGAGTAAATAGAAATTATGAACATATTTCCACTTATGACATATCCTCTGAGTGTTGCATGAGAATGCTCCTTTTTTTACAGGGATGTGTTTCTGTAGTGATTCTTTCATTAACTAGCTCCCTAAAGAGCTGTTAAAACTACATGCTGTAGTGGTTTCCACAGCTAGGCTGCTTCTTCTGATCTCTGTTAATCAGCCAAGTCGTGAAACTACTACTGAAACAATTCCTCTTTCTGATGGATTTGACACCATCGCAACTTCAGAGCATGATTAAATGAATACTAGCATGATAGTGTACGTATGGCTGGTGGAGTGTGGCTGAAAAGAGAATAAAATCACTGCACTACATAATAGTATTAATTTTTAGAAATGAACGAATCTAGCACCAATACAGGCACACAAAATAAAAATCAACCTTTTTTTCAGAATGCTAGTTTAATGCATGACACCGTAAAGTGGGGAGTTCTTTCCCCATATCAATGCAGGTTTGCAAATTTCAGTCTGTTACATATTGTTCTCATCACAAAGGAAATCAATGGGTCTAATAAGGTTTATGCGTTATTTCAGGAAAATGTGATGAGTATGATGATTGCCTATTTTGCTTAGCTCAGCTCATGGCTGTGTTTTGGCGCTCTAAGCCTGTAAAGCAGAAACATATATTAATGTCGTGTAAATGCACCAGGTGTTAATAAAAAAAGGTTGTCTTGCTAACTAGTTTCCCAGTTAGCAAAACATATGCTGCGCTGGCTACCCACGTGACGTTACCTAGTACGCCTCCGGCAAGTCTGAAAAAAGGCCAACAGCTATCTGATTTTAATTCAAGATTTGAGAAGGCTGAAAATACATAGGATACGTAGACACTCTCAGGACTTTAAAACAATGCCTTAAGAGTCACCAAAGGGCATCGAAATCCTATGTTTCTTCGTTAATGCTGTTAATTTCTCCTGAACAGGTCTACCCTAACTACTAGCGCTCATGTGAGGAACTAGGAGTCAGGAATAGACTAATCCCTAGTGGGCCCTGAGCTGACCCTTTTACCTGGCCTCAGATTGCAGATGCCAAACACGGAGCAGTGCTCTGAAGCACATGAGCTTATTTTAACACAGAATTTCAGTACAGCAGCTTGGAGAAAGCTTCCAGCCACCGATTTTTTTTTCTTCTGCTTACAGGGTTATTTTTTATCCTGGGTTTTTCATGAGCAACGTATGTATTTCACACCAACATTCTCCCTTTAAAAAGTAATGTAATGAGAAGACAGTCTCAGGATGGAGTTGGGGGCAACAAAATGCCCCAAATGTCCCCCAGGAGGAAGAGTATAAGGAAGACCGAGGCATGCCGGGGGAGGGCTGTGGGGTCCCTCCGAGCGGCGAACATACACTGCGCACCCTGCAGATGCCACGCAGCAGAACGAGAGTCATCTACTATTACACGAGAAACAGAGCTCAGCTACGTCATACACCTGGAGTACACCCCCATGGGGTACGTTGAGAAAGAGACTTTCTCGCAATAACCCCTGTGTCTAAAGTAGGTTTTCTGCCATCCTGCATAACTGTGGGTTTATCTGCAGTTGCAGGAATCTGTTTTTACCGCCATAATCAGTTGCTTTTCCCCACCCAGAACCTCTTGCCTCTTTGAGACACTTTGTATTTGGACTCTAGCCTGCAGTCAAATAGAGATGGGCAGCTCCTCTGAGATTAATTATAATACTCATCTCCATCCGGTTTCTAGGAAGCAAACAAGTGCAACGTTCTTCACTATGCCTCAAATGAATTAAAAAATGTACCAGCGTGATACTCCTTAAGTGGAGGGATTTATTTATGGCTTTATTTGATAAAGGGAAAAATCAATAAAGACATATAAGTCCTTAGATCTCTGAAGCCCCTTCTGCCCTTCCTGAATTAGACACTGACTGTTAGCAATGGCATTCATGATGAGCAATAATTTAGACTGATTATGCAAATGACAAAGCAGTGTGACGATGCCTAATATGCCATCTATAAGCAGTAAGTTAGGAAGAGCTACAAGTTGAGTTGTATTCCTTTGGTAATGCCAGATGGCAAAATCTCTAGCATTTGCAAGACTGCTCCTTATTTGCATGAACATTACAACAATCACATTTCCTTCAACGTATGTCACGAAATGTATTTATTTATTTTGGTTCAAGGACAATATTGCCAACTGCTACAACTGTCTTTATTGCAAACACTTCAGTTAATGGAAAATGATTCTCTTTAATAGTTTCTTTCCTTCTTTCTTTCTTCTCTTTTAAATTTGTAATTTAAAGTAACCCCAAATGTGCATATACCTTTTTAATCATTTACACTATGTTCCTCTTTTCCATAGCCGAGCCTTGTAGAACAAGTTCACACAAATCTCAAGATTTTTTTCCCCATTGGTGCATGCATATGTGTGTAGTGTATGTATATACATGTATTATATGCACACCCACACATCAGTTTATTGATGAAAGGTTTTCCAGTATAGGCCAAAATATTGAATCAGTTTTGCAAGATTAAGCAACTAACGAACAGACAACCATTCATCTCTCCAAAAAACTAGTGTAGTTTATTTTATAGGGGTCAAACTCCAAAAGGATGAATTTAAATCGCTTTGAAACAGTATATCATTTTTTAAGATGCTGCACCATTTCAAATTCATGCTTACAGGACATTAACTGATGCATAAGAGACAAGTTAAACCCTTACAAAAGTTGTATATGAATAAATATCGTATTATAAAAATGATACTATCCCAAGTTTAGCACACTGATTTAAAGACACACTTTGATTTATCTCAGCCCTAAGCTCTGCCAAGAGACGTAGTGGAAAGGAAACGTTTACTGACTAATTATATCCAAATGCCACTGTCTCAGACTCACAGCACTTCTAGCATAGCATCATCCTACAGTCACAGCAGCTTTATATTCTCGGTTTCTGCTAAGAGACTTTGCATGATTTCACTCTCAGGTATTCTACAGATCAGAACACCAGTGGATTGCCAGAGTTCTCGGTCTAGGGATATTTAATAAATTTCAAGCTGTTGTTATGACTTTCCGAAGATTATGTTGAAGACTGCCGCCTCTTTGGCCGTGTACTACGTTAAGCGCAGCTCCCTGAAAGATCAACCTCAGGAGATGAGCCCAGACATGACGGAAAGGCCCCTGCCATGCCAGCCTTCTCACAGCATAAATGCTCCTAGCTTTCTTCATGCTATTCCTGACATCGGAAGGAATCATTTCCTTTAGTTCTTAATTAGAAATAGACATAGATGCCTCATGGGAAAACCCGGAGCAGAGCAATAACCTTACCTGAAAAACCAGGGACTGATTTAATCTCATACAAAGTCCAAAGAGTTATGTAGTCTCAGGCTAGGCTGAAAGCAATCATATAAAAAAGCCTAAAGTTTTAAGTGTTAAAGAGTTTGCTTCTTTTTCTTTCTTTTTCTTTCTTTCTTTCTTTTTTAATCACATAGTATTTCTGACTCAGTTTACCTCCCTAAGACATCATCAGGTTGAACAATTCAAATAAAAGGCCTGCTCTCCATGATCAGCTGGATGCAGACAATGCATCAACATATTCTCCTGTCCTTTGGTTTAGGGAATAGCCAAGTTACGCATTCAAAGGAAGATGCCATTTTCCACTAACTAAAGCATCGTACCTTTACAGAGGTGTCATATGCTACCGCAGGTCCACTGTGTGCATCACCAGTGCTGAGTGACCTTTGCAGAAACCACAAAACTGCCACACGGCGAGATTCAGGAAAGATACAGCTACTTTGTGACGGGATCACCATCCTCCTAAACCCTGGTATCTCTGAGGCTGTGAAGGACGTGTGTGGGTACCCAGAGGGTAATGCCGCTGGCGCGGTCCTTGCCCGGAACAGGTTTACCCTCCTGCCAAGGGCAGTGGGCAGCGAGACCCACAGCCCTCCCTGCCTCACCCTGCCCTGCCTGCAGACTGAAGGACGTCCTCCACGGTGAACGCACCCACCCGGGGACAATTACTCCGCTCATCAATATCTGCCGTAACCTGGAATCTCACCTTTTTGTTTCTGCAGCTTGCAATAGCCAGTCTAAAGATTTAGCTTATTATTCCCTAAATTATGAGGGCTTTTTAACCCCTCCTTCCTTCTACCTCCCTATGCACATAAATGTTGTAACGCAGACTGAGCAGAAGTAGTTTATTTCTTTATTTATTTGTAGTTAACCTTTTTTGACCCGGGAGGTTGATCATCTTGACCCCAGCAGCTACTTGTGACGTTCTCTATAAAAATTTCAGAACCTAACATTTTAATAACAAAAGTAGAAGTAAAGTATCACGGCACCATGGAATGATTTCTTAAATTGGCAAATACACACTTGCCTTGGCCTCCTGACATACCTTTGCTAAAGAAAACCTAGATATCACTTGCAAAGGCAGAGCTTCTTTCCCAGATTCTCTTGAGTGGCACCCAGACTTCCTCATTTGTGCCCAAACCGAACCTTTTCTGTCACGTTAGATCAAAACTATCCATATGAAGCACCATCAGACTGCAAAACCTACTCACAGCATCATGGAAACTACCAAGCTCCCATGCACAGTTCCTAAGTACTCTCTGAGACGGTATGGAGAGCTGATCATGTTCCAACAACAACAACAAAAAAAAATCCCCACACCATAAGATATATGAGTTTCAAGGATAAAACTAAACCTGTGGACTAGTTTTCTGTGAGGACAAATATATCTTTAAAATGAAATTTTAGCACATAGTCATTTCTGAATTATGAAAAAATTGGAAGTGTTTCAAAAATGCAAAAAAGGCAATATTTCAAAAAATAATTTAAATAGGTTACTGATTATTTTTGACATTTCCCCCCAAATTCTAATCTGGCACAAGGTTCAATATACTAAATTGCAGGCTGAAGTGAGAATATTTTCTTAAATATTTAATAGTCAAATTCTCCCCTGAAATACTGCATTTATGCCAAAGTAGCTATACAGAGTAACTCCAGGGAAAAACATATACAACACAGTAAAGAACCAGTCCAACCCTGATGCAGGACAGCGATTATAAAACTGAGTTCAGAAGGGAAATAGGAGTCTGAGTTTAACAGCACTGTCATTCTCTTATCTCTATAGTATTTTAAATAACACAAGCACTAGCCTACCTAAAATTTTGTAAAGGCAGTAGCTCCAAACATTTTTTTAAAAACTGCTTTATGCTCACAATTTAATTACAACAATTCAGGTTATTTTGCTTGCTAACTTTCTGGGCAATATTGAAGTGCTATCATGTAATTTTTTTTTCTATTTCACTGTTTATATCTATGCGTTTTGTTGGCCAATTTATTGGCATCAGTTCCATTTTCTAAGTAATATGGGTAAGGACAAAGTATAAATGGCACCTATTTGAGAACTAATTGCTAATGGATTATGGTGAGCTCTAAGAGATGACAACCTTACATTTTTGAACCTTAGGTGTTTTCCCTAATGACGTTTGAACCATTCATGCGATTAGAACAAAGGGTCTGCCTCTGATGAACACGTGGCATAATCAATAAAACACCTTCCTAGGTTGCAACTGTCTTTTTTCAGATTTTGCATCTAGCCTAAACAGCAGAAGTTAATTTGAGGATTTTTACAGTATTTTTTCCCCATTTACAAACAGAAATGCCATGGGGTAAAGCAATTACTCTGATTTACTGTCTTCTCTTTGATTGAACATAAAGATGTAGCAGGGGCTCAAAAAAGCAGTAACTTAACAAACTGTGCTCCTATCCACAGACAGATAAAGTACCTACTTTGCTATTTCAAAGAGTTTACCTCCAGGCAGCAGCACAGAGCAAACATCAATCAATGACAAGTGTCTGAGATGAGATTGATGTTTACTCTCACAGCTTTTCATCTTACATCCAATAAATTATTTTTCCTTCACCAAAATGCCTGGTTAAATTTCATTTTTCACTTTGCAGTATCAGTTTTAAAACTTTAGCTTCCAGCAGTTTTAAAGCTAGGATTCATTGGTGCTTCATCTTTTATAGCCTGTTTATGATTTGTATTAACCATGAAACACTGCCATACAAACACGGATATGATCACGCGGCGCTGCACTGGGCTAGCCATTCACTCAGTGGCAGGTGCTGGCTGGAAGGTGCAAGATTGCTTTAATTATGTGTCTGGATTTTCTAAGACTGAAACCAGGAGCTGTGTTTTCAGGGGTAGACACATCCCATCCACCAAATGAATGCATATATACAGCACGTCTGCAAAATCGGCATCTGAGCGTACAAAGCAGGCCTTCAAGAACCCACACTGAGCAACTGCAGGGAACCACGGAAAGACTAGTTGTGGATGCAATTATTATTTTTTATATACTCGCAGCTGAGATTCACAACTTGCCTGAATTTTAAGTATCTATTGAAATATTGAGAAAACCCATGACTGGAATCGAGATTGGAATCTATGTTGTTGAATCAGAGCAGTAAACATCACAAGAGAGGAACATTAAAAAAAATCCAATTAAGTTCAACATCTGCTTGTACAAGAGCACCTCTTCTGGCTCTGCTACTGATAAAACATGCACATTTTCTTCCCTCAGTGTAACCCCAAGTTTTG